TGCTGGGAAAGAGATGCAAGAGACATGATTGCTGAGAGAGACACTGAGGGACACGCACTGCTGGGAGAGAGACTGTGAGAGACGGTGGGCTGGGAGAGAGACTGAGCATTTTTCCTGAACTTGAATTGTAGCCTGGTGCTTCCCTAATAAACCCCATAATCTGTGAGTTCTGTGTGGCCACTGTAGTGAATTATCGAACCCAGTAGAGAGGTGGTGGGTGCTTTGGGAGGAACAGTTGGTGAAAGGGCTGAAGGGAGGCAGCATGTCTGGCCTTGCAGGAATAGGCCTTGGGTTACTGATAATGACTCTGTCTTCCTCTTGTGGGGTTAGAGGTGGTCAGGAGATGTGGCCTTCCTGACCTTCTTGCAAGTGAAAACACTAAAGAACAAAGTAATACCTAATAAACTGCAGAGCACTGTCAGAGTTATATATTCAACAGAAACAGGCAAGTGAAAGGATTAATTCTTACTAGTTTGATCCTGAAGGCAGGCCTTCACTGTATCCTAGTACCTAGAACACAGAAAAATAGTGGGCATTCAAAAATCCTCTAAGGATAAATGGAAGGGAGGATGGGACGGAAGAAAGGGAAGGGAAGATGGTTGGTTGGCTGGAACCTGAATAACCCACGGGCATCTGGGCAGTCTTGATCAAGACACAAGTCCTGCAGGCAGGATGATAGGGATGGGCAAAGCACTGCAGGTAGAGGCTGGGCTCCTGCTTATTTCTGGCCATGCAGGTTGTGCACTGCACTAGGCTGGAAAGCACTGTTCACGGGAGACTCCAGCAGCCCTGCGGAGAAGGACCGGAAAGTCTACATCGTGGTAGTTGCTGTTGTCGATTCTGACTCACAGTGGTGGCTGCTGTTAGGTGCGGTCAAGTCAGCTCCAGTTCACAGTGACCGTGTGAAGAACAGAACAAAATCCTGCCGAGTTCTGCACCATCCTCACAATCCTTGCTATACTTGAGCCCATTGTTGTGGTATCACTACAGAAGTAGATTGCCCAACCTTCCTTCCGAGGGGTGGCTGGCGGGTTTGAACCGCCAGCCTTCTGGTTAGCAGTCAAGTGCCTTAGGCACTATGCTACCAGAGCTCCCTTCTTCTTCTTCACTGACCCTCTACTATCCTCCTCCAGGGACTGGTCACTTCTGACAACATGAGCAAAGTTCAAGAGATGAAGTCTGGTCATTCTCGCTTCTAAGGAGCTTTCTGGTGAATGGCAGTGGTAGATGTTCTAAATATCTTTACAGTATTATCAATTATTTGGATGATTCCAAATTAATTATAATTGAAATAAGGACACTGATACTCATTTCATATGACACAGTGAATATAAAACAAAAACTGTATCTAAAATGTCCAGCACAGTGTCAGCAGCAGGGTAGATGTTTAGTGAGTGACAGCTATTATTAGAAATAGTAGGTTTTGTTTTGTTTTTTGGAATGGAATTTTTCATACAAAGTCAAGAGATTTAGTGCTCTTCTCTCGTGTAAGCTGAGAGAAGTAATGAGGGTCTGGAGAGAATACTGTGAGCTAAGTGGTTCTCACTTTGAGCAGAACGGACCTGCAGGGGCAATATGGAGAGGTGGGGAATTTATGATAATTGCAATGACAGGGCAGGTTAGCGGATTAGGTGGATGGAGACCAGGGATGTGAAATGTCCAGTAATCCATGGGACAGTACCACACAAGAAATAACAGTCTTACCTGAAACGCAAATTGTGCCCCTACTGCAGACTATGAACTAGCGAGTGACAACTAGTAGTGTCCTGCCATTGCTCACTTGAAACTACTACACACACAACTGCAAAGCTGTTTGAAAAGCATATGCAAATCAAATTGCATTCACCCTGATTTTGCCGCATGCCAAATGTAAGCACCTATCAAGCCTCATCATGTTATAAAATAAAATCAATTACTGTAAAACCTATGAAAGGTGGAACCTGTGTGAGGTAGAAAATTGTCAGAGAAGGAAAACTCAAATATTTTCCACTAAAACAAGTGATAGAAAAGTGGTAAGACAGTACCGTCAGAGGTGGAAAACCTGTGAGACCCAGACACAGGGCAGTCCCATTGAGTTCTGGCTGTCACAGGTTTCTCTGTAAAATGTCACTTTTTTTTTTTTTTAAAACTGTGTAGAGGGGAAAATATCTAATGAAATAGTAAATTAAACAGAAAATGTGGCACTATAACAAAAATTGTGTTTGCAAAACAAAAAAATGACTGTCAAAGCAACCAAAAGCTTTTTCTTGAGACAATCAAGAAAGTAACCTGAAGACACCTTTCACTTCTTATATCTAACATCTGAAATTTAGAGAGAGAAAAGAGAGTTAATTTTAAATACATGGTGTTGAGACAACTGGTTAGCATCTTAGAAGGAAAAAAAAAGTTGGATACCTACCTCTTACCTTCCACCAAAATTAATTTCAGATAGATTGTATTTAGACAGAGGATATAAATCTGCAAAATGAAACTTTAAAAACAAATACAATCTCTGTTAAGTACATATCATATGCTACCATTTGTTTAAGAAATGTCCATGTGGTATAATGCAACATATGAACATATGTGTACACTAGCTCTGGAAAGATACAAACAACACAGGCAACAATGACTGCTTCTGGGGAAGGGGATTAGGGAAATTTGTACTTGAACTTTGTATTTAAAAAGTAACATTTTAAAATGTACTAAAAAACAATTCTGTACACCTAATTATCAGCTTGGGAGCTCTGGTGGTGTAGTGCCTAAGGCCTTTGACTGCCAACCAGAAGCCTGGCAGTTCAAACCCACCAGCCACTCCTCAGAAGGAAGACTGGGCAATCTACTTCCACAGAGATACCACCTCGGAAACCCAAGGAGGGGTTGCTATGAGTCAGATTTGACTCGACAGCAATGAGTTTGGTTTTGTTTTGGTTTAACCATGAGCTTAAATAATTGAGAGCTCACCATAAAATGTTTCTCCTAAGAAATATCCAATTGAGAAATAACACACAGTTCCTAGCATAATGCTTAATACATACCGAAAAGAAAAAAAAACCAAACTCACTGTCAGATCCGACTCATAGCGACCTCTCCTTGGGTTTCCCAGGCATTATCTCTGCGGAAGTAGATTGCCTCATGAGGGGCCTAAATATTAGCAGGCAGCTATCATTTGCCACTGTCTTCCTACGACACAAATAATTATTTTGAAATGTGCCCTTTTTCTTTTCAAAATGTAGAATTTTGTATTTGATATCACTGCACACTCTAATAAAAAATATTCCATTTTCCAAAAATGATTTCAGTTGACTCACACTCAATTAATTGAAATCTTTAAATAACTGCCACTTAGGCTCTTCAAGATCTGCACACGCTCATTGCACCTATACTGCAGGTCACTGGAGCTGGCTTTCCAGTTCCTAACTATGCTTTCCTCCATTCTTTTGAAGACACCATGTCTTCTGCCAAGAGAACTTTACCCCATCTCCGCCTACTGAAATCATTCTTCCTACCAGGGCCAGCTCAAATACTACCTATCAAAAAAAAAAAAAAAAATATATATATATATATATAAAACACACACACACAAGTAAAGGAAGGTATCCAAAGATATAAAAAAGATACAACTTCAGGATGATAAATTTTAAAAGTTATTTATTAAACAAGATAAATACAACTGAAAGTATATTTAAAAGCCCACCATTATTGGATCACTTTTGAAATATCTATTCTGGGAAGAAGGAATTTGTCAAACTTTTTAATGGTAAGAGGAAATGATAACAAATAAAACAGGTACAGAAGACATTTTTAAACAAACAATAAAGCACACAGTAAACTGAGAACTAAATATAAAAACACAGAACCATAAAAACTGTTCAAGTATGAACCAAAATGTCTCAGGTGTTTTTAAACGCTTTTGGTATATGCTCATGGGAGGGCCAAACTGTCTATGTCCAAATTAATAAACAGTATGTAAACTCACCTAAGATACCATACCTACACTCATGTTATTCAGAAATAATTCTGGAAAGGACTTATGTTGGGTATGTAAATATTTTAAATTGTCTACCATTGGCAAAACATATTTTACATATGAACATATTCATTGATACTTAATGGGGGGGGGAATAAAGCTGTCTCACCAGAAGACAGACAAACAAAAAATTCTTATAATTTAAACATCTTGATTTGAGGACAACTGTGGATTTGACAGTTCTGATAAAATTCCAACATCAAGGTTGTTGAATGGTGCTATCAAGATTTTAAAAAAAGAAAGAAAAGAGCTGCTTCTGAAAATTTTAGCCTTTCTGGAAAAAAGAGACGGTATTTTTATTCATAAATTCTGAGATGCTCAGTTTCTACAGTCAACAGAGAAGAGAAAAGTTCTCTTTTCAGGAGGTCCACATGGACCTGCAAACAGTGGTTTCACTACAGATTTGGCAGGTGTTTCTGTGTAAAATATAACTTTGCTCCATAGCCTCCATTAAAGGATTTGAGGCGTAACTGACTTTGGCAGTACACATGGATAGCATGATGTGAACGGGACCACCAGTGGGTATGAGGCCATAGGACAAGAAGTTTGCTGTGTGTGTGTTTTAGAGAGAATAGGGAATAAAATAGTTTAGCCAAACTAGAAAACAGATTTTCCCAATTAGATTTCAATTGTATAAATGATGTAAATTAACTTAAATGGATTCTGAATTTCTTTGAGAGGCAACTCTTTTTTTTTCTTTTTCACTTTCTTCTCTTTTATCATTCTTCACGAGGTCAAAGCTTCAGTTATATACATTCTCCTGGATACTGAGGGAAAGACGGCCGTCCCCTCAGTCTGAGAGGGACAGGGAGCGCACAGACCTGACGTGGTGAGAGAAAGGCCCCAGTCCCTGAGAGGGTCGGGAGCACACAGACCTGCCGCTGGCAGGGCCTCGGTGAGGGAAAGGCAGCCGTCCCCTGAGTCCGAGAGGGACGGGGAGCGCACAGACCCGCTGCCGGCAGGGCCTCGGTGAGGGAAAGGCAGCCGACCCCTCAGTCCGAGAGGGACGGGGAGCGCACAGACCTGCCGCTGGCAGGGCCGTGGTGAGGGAAAGGCTCCTTGTCCTTCTCTTTGCTGTCGTGCTTGTGCTTGTGTTTGTGTTTGTGCTTGTGCTTCTTCTTCTTCTTCTTGTGCTCGTGGTGGTGGTGGTGGTGGTGCTCGCTGTGCTTGGAGGACGTGGGCTCCTTCGCGAACACCGAGAGGGGAGCCGGCACTGCTGGATGCACGCTCATCTCCAAAGGGGACTGTTCTTTACCTTATAATTCAAAACACACAATGAATTGCTGCTGATTACAAGTGAAACGCAAATAAGAGGGAGCTGAGCCCTCTACCCACAGGTGGCTTAGTGCCCAGCTACCAACTGAGAGATCAGCAGTTCGAACCCACCAGCCACTCCACAAGAGAAAGGTGTGGCAGTGAGCTTCCATAAAGATTACAGCCTTGGAAACTCTATGCAGCAGTTCTACTTGCCCTACAGGGTCACTGTGAATTGGAATTGACTAGGCAGCAATGATTTTTTTTTGTTGTTTTATACATGAGGTTGCTGTGAGTCAGAGCTACCTCAACAACTAAGAACAATGACAACAACAATAGAGTCCTTAGCAATGCCTGGAGTCACCTTTGATGTCACAAATAGTGGGGATGAGGAAGTGCTACTGGCATCTTGTGGGTAGAGTCAGGGATGCCACTAAACACTCTACCTTGCACAAGACAGCCCTCACAACAAAGAATCCTCATGCCCCAAATGTCAAAAGTGGCAAGGGCCTCGCTGCACAGCCGTCTTTCTAACAGCAAACCCATCAGACCATCTACTGAAGAGCTCAGCCGGTTCTACTGACAGAATAAAATCCAAACTCTCTGGGTTTCAGTATAGCAGTCCCCCCCCAACACACCAAAAAAATCAATCCAAACTAGCACCAAAACCAGAGTTTTTTTTTGTGAATCTCTTCTTCCCTTCCTTTCTCCCCTCCCTCCACTAATGCTACACTAAGATACTAAAGCCTTTTCAAAACTCTGTGTATTTGTAAATGCCATCTCTGTCCTTGGACTACCCATCCCTCCACTCATTTAACAAACATCAGGGACTCTACCGGAACTGGGGAAAACAGTGATCAACTGGAGAGATCTCAGCCCTCCTGAAGTTTACAGAATGGCAAAGAAAGTCAACGGTACACCTGAGTAACAAAAACACAAAGCACAGAGTGTGACAGAGCTCAACAGAGGGCTGACATCAGTGGGGGAAACCAGAGAGGAGGCTTTCTCTGAGGAAGTCACGCTTAAACTGAGGCCAAAAGGAGGGAGAAGGGAATGGAAGAACACTGTAGTCTTCTTAATCATTTAAAACTCACCTCAAATGTCTTATCTTTGGGAAATTTTCCCCTGTCAAAATCAATCAGTTCCTTCATGTTCCCACAGCATTTTGTTTCTATAGTCATACTAGTAATAGCTAACACATAGTAGGCCTTACTCTGTGCCAGGTAGTTACAACTATTTGTTAATTGAATCCTCAGAACAACTCTGTTAGATAGTACTACTATCATCACCATTATACAGTTGAGAAAAGTAGGGCACAGAGTAGTAACTGGCCCAAAGTATACAGATAGCTCTGGCAGATCTGAGATATAAGCCCAAAGAGCTTGGCTTGAGAGTTTATGCTCTGAACCCCGTGCTGCAGCCTGTCTGCACACAGCATACTGTAGTGTATCTTACCATCTTTTGTTTCTTCCACTAGTTTGAGAACAAGGATTCTTTTTTTTTTTTTTTTTGCATCCCAAGGAGTTCTGGTGGCATAGTGGTTAAGACATTCAGCTGCTAACCAAAAGGACAATGGTTCTAACTCATCAGCTGCTCCGCATGACAAAGATGAGGGTTTACAACTTTGTAAACCCACCAGCCGCTCTGCTCCTCAGAAGGAAGACTGGGCATTCTTTTGTTGAGATACCACCTTGGAAACCCAAGGAGGGGTATAGACTTGATGACAGTGAGTTTTTTTTTTTTTTTTTTTAAACCCATGGGACTGTTCTACTCTGCCCTAAGGGTCACTATGAGTTGGAATTGACCCAGTGGCAGCGGGTTTGGTTTTGTTTTGGTACTTCCTGTGTGCCAGGCTGGTCCAAGTGAACAACTCAAAGTCTCTGTTCTTACAGATTATTCACATATTACTACCACAAAATTATACCTTTATTTTAATCATGATTTTTATGTAAAGCTAACCCAGAAATTATGTAAAAGCTAAACAAAGGGGTTATGTAATGAAGCAAGTCTGGGGACCTCTAGCTTCTGTAATAACTGGTATCTAGCCATGCTACAGAAAAAAAATGGAGATTGTCCAATTTATAATTTTAATCAAATGAGTCACTATATAATTTTATGTTTTAAATAAATTAGCAGGACTATGTTGCTGATTCTGTGAACACAAGAACATAGGCCCTTACCTAACAGAACACATAGTCAGGTGATGAACACAAGTAAGAAGGAGATTTTAAAGCCTCGTAAACAACTTCCTTGAGCTCCTCTGTCACATCTGAAGCTTCCCCGTCGGCTGTCTGCACTCCTGGGACCCGCTGTCCTCTTGTGCACTGAGGGAATGTTCACTATTAACCCTAAACACCGGCCAAGCTACTTGGCCTGCAGAGGAGACAGGAATGACACTGGAGCCTGCACTTCCCAGCAGCACTGACTGCCAAGTGACCACTGAGTGTGCCTGGGTGGGCTCCCTTCCAAACAATGCTTATAACCACTTCATAAACGGATCCAGTCTCTTGCCTAGTAGCCTTATACTCTATAAAAAACATACTGATTATAAATCTTTCATTTCTCTTGATTTGTGTGAAGTCTATTAAGAAGACAGTGGATCAGCTAGCTCCCAGGATAATGGCATTAGGAACTAGGAGTCCCAGGACATATGGCTGATTTCAGGTGCAGTTCAGAATATTTACAAGATGAGCCTGAAACATCTGACATAATAGCACGGAAGTTAAAGTCATGTCAAAGGGAGGCAGGAATCAACTTACGAGGAAGATCTCACTGTTCAAAGATGGGATACTTTCAATACTGATAATAATTGTAGTGGACTGATGCAGTGTAGTAAATTACTTAGTATGGCTTTTCTACCCATAAGTCATCATAAACTCAGTGGTGGAATGAGCAACTGAGGAGCTCCTGACTGTAAATGTTATCTACCTGGGTTATTTCTGTTGGGCGTGGCACAATGCAATGTTCTGGGAGGTTCCCACTCTGTCTCACGTGCTTAGAGTTCTGATGCTATGATTGGCTAGTTTGACCACTCTGCAGGGCTCAAAAGGAGGCCTCCTAGAGGCAGAACTCTCTCTGACTGCTGGTTGAGGAACACGTGCTGCTGAAAGAGACACGTGCTCCTGAGACATGCACTGCTGGGAAAGAGACGCAAGAGACATGCATTGCTGAGTGAGACACGGAGGGACACGCACTGCTGGGAGAGAGACTGTGAGAGAGTGTTGGCTGAGGGACGGTGGGCTGGGAGAGAGACTGAGTGTTCTTCCTGAACTTGAATTGTAGTCTGGTGCTTCCCTAATAAACCTCATAATCTGTGAGCTCTGTGTGGCCACTGCAGCGAATTATCAAACCCAGGAGAGAGGTGGTGGTGCTTTGGGAGGAACGGTTAGAGAAAGGGCTGAAGGGAGGCAGCATGTCTGGCCTTGCAGTAATAAGCCTTGGGTTACTGCTGGTAATCCTGTCTTCCTCTCGTGGGATTAGAGGAGGTCAGAACATGTGGCCTCCTTGCCGTTTTTGCAACTGAAAATGAAATAAATATGTTTAAATCCATGGGTTCATAATAATTCTTTACCCAAAAAAAGGATTGCTTGATCATCATTGGAGGATGGTACATAACCAACTCATTATTTTGAAAATTATTAAATAAATAACAAGCTATTTATCTTTCTTTTCCTATATGATCTATACCACTGGGTCATAGTAGGTGAGGGGAAACTTAGCTTTATCCAAATAATTCAGCTTATACATCAGAATGGAAGGATGAATCAGACAATCACCATTTACAATCCCTAATGACTTACTGCATCTAGGGCCTGAGCATCTAGACCTACTAATGCCATAATAAAGAGAAATCAGGTATTTTATGCCTATAGACTGAAGAGCAGGAGCTCTGGTAGCATAGTGCCTAAGGCACTTGACTGCTAACCAGAAGGCTGGTGGTTCAAACCTACCAGCCACCCCTCGGAAGGAAGGTTGGGCAATCTACTTCAGTAGTGACACTGCCTCGGAAACCCAAGGGGGGGTTGCTATGAGTCGGATCCGACTCAACAGCACATAACAACAACAACAACAGATTGAAGAACACACCACTACCTGTGACCCTGAATCCATTTAAGCTTCTAGATACAAGTATACATTTACAGGAAGTTAAAACATGTTAATTACACTATGGGTATACAACTAGCAAAGTACAGACTTAAAAACTACAGATCAAAAAGCTCAATAAATTAAATGTAAGAGAGGAAAAAAGAAAGAATGAGAGACACTGACTGGAAATGTTACATGAGAAGATGTAGAGGGCCTATCAGCCAATTACAATGTGGGGACTTTACAGGATTTGTTTCTTTAAAAAGAAAAATATAATGTATGTCATTTATGAGTTAATTGGGAGTCCGTTGGGTGGTGCGAATGGTTAACACGCTTGGCTGCTAACCAAGAGGTTGGGAGTTCAAGTCCCCCCGGAGGCACCTTGGAGGACAGGCCTGGTGATCTATTTCTGAATAACCAGCCACTGAAACCCTTATGGAGCACAGTTCTCCTCGGACACAGAGGTGGTTGTGAGTCAGAGTGCACTTGAAGGCAACTGGCGATCTGGACGAGTCAACTGAAAATTTAAAGTGTGACCAGATATTTAATGACAGGAAATAACTTTAATTTTTAAGGAATGATAATAGTATAATGGTTAGGATTTTTTCTAGTCCTTATCTTTTAGAGAAACATACTAAAATATTTGTGAATGAGATGATATAATGTGTGGGATAGCCTTCAAAATAACTCAGGAGGGTGGGAAATAAGTAAGGATACTAATTAAACAAACAAAAAAAAGCCCTGCTGGCACTTTTAAATTAAAGTACTCTACTACTACTAACCGAAAGATCAGTGGGAGAAAGCTGCTTCAATGGAAGAAAGATTTGGCAAATCTGCTTCTGTAAAAATCCCAAAAAAACAAACCCACTGGCATCAAGTTAATTAGACATATAGCGACCCCCACTGGGTTTCCAA